ATGTTCCATTGTCAAAATTGCGAAAAAGTATCCTGACCATTGACCTTATAATTGTGATGACAAAAGGCTTAGCTACATCCTCAAAACTGAGTTGGCTCAACAGGAAGTTACTTATTGTGACTGGTTTAAAAGACAAAGGTACCACCTGGAAGACACAAAGGAGTTTAAGTATGAAGGATTTACCCTAATCTAACCCAAAGTAGATGAGACACGGCTAAAAGTAGCAACTAAATATAACGGATCTCTTTCTTTCTAAAACAGAACGGATTAAGAAGCGTAGTTCTGATAACATGAGGAAAGCTTAAAGTGAAAAATGTTTCTACATAATAATATAAAAGTAATAGTTTTTAAATGAGAGGGACATTTTTCTATTTAATTCATTAGATTTCTAACAACCGTATATTTTTAAGTTATTAAGGCCCACATTTTACAGGAGCTCAAAGCAATCTATATGTAATGAAAAGACTAGTACTGGCTTAATATAATTTTTACATTTGGAAATAAAATGACTAACATGTAATCCTAACACACATTTGTAAAGTAGAAAATATATTTAAAATTTTAATTTTTAACAGGAAAATAAATTGAAGTTAGGGAGGTTAACTCATTTCTCTGAAGCAACAGTAATAGAAAGTGGCATTGCCAATAGTGAGCAAAATGTATTTTGATATTATTTATTTCCTTAAACATTCTCAAAATTCCAAAAATAAATTAATTTTTGTTTAATCAGAAATTTGTAAATGACATTTAGAGCCCACTTTTAGTAATTAAACAATTTTCTTTAATTCAAGTCATTTCTAAACATTTCCTGATTAAAGACTTTTAAAAATCTTAAATGTCAGAAAATTTCTGTACGTTACATTTTTTTCCTTGTGTTACACCAGCATGATGTGCATTGAGGTATACTTAGTGCCTGAGGATATGCTCATTACCCTGTAACTTGTTCCCAAGCTGCCCTGTATCATGTCGCAGGCTTTGCCCTAGACTGGGAAGACTGTGGGCTGCAGAGCCAGATAAACCTGTGCTATCCCGACCTTGGTGCTTCCAAATTTTATGACTTTTAGGAAGTCATTTAATTTTTCCTAACCTCAGTTTTCCCATCTGTAAAGTGGGAATAATCATGCTTCCCTTACATGAAAATGAATGGTGCTGCATGTGAAAATTCTTGCTTTTCACAATGAAGTAGATTCTGTTCTGGTGTTTGTTACTATTACTATTATTATCATCTCCATGCCACATCTTTCAACATCCATACTTTTATCAAAGCTGCACTTTTCCAAAAGCATAGTTTATTTTGGGGGCATTAAATTTTTAAATTCTTATTCATTTGAACTTTTGCTGGCCTTTGTCACTGGGGAGAGAATTTTTTCCTTCAGAGCATCACTAACCTCTTCAGGTGACTTCTTGAAACCATTGACTTCTTGAAACCATCGTAGAATTTAGCTCACCATTGATCTGTCCTCTGCCTTCAATCCTTCCCTCTTTACTGGCTTTTCCCCTCAACTAGTGAATATTACCAGGCATCTGTTATCCATTTTCTTCGAATCTTCAGACCAATTCCCCTCAGTACATGAACTCCCCATCTTTCTCCTGGCTCTTCTCAGCACACATTACTTCTGAGAGTGTAGTCTGCCTATGCGTTTTTATTTATCATCTTCCATTGTTCTTAACTCATTGCAATCTTGCTTTTCTCTTCTTCATTTTACTAAAACTACTCTTATGTGGATGGCTAACTTTCCATGTGTCAAATTTAATGGTGATTTTTCAATCTTCATTCCATATTTATTTTCAGCATTTGATGGCACATTTACTCGGTATTTAAAGCTTTCTCCTTCCTTTTTGTGAAAAACACATTTTCTAAGGTATCCTACAATTTATATTGCTTTTCCTCAATTTCATTTTTCTACTCTTCTACGTCCTTCCTTTTTTCCAATATTGATGTTCTCAGCGTACTTTTTTGGAGGGTCACTTTCCCTATGTGATCCTATCTGTTTTGAAGACTTCATTCCATGTTAGAGCCAATGATTCCCTGACCTAGGCCTGTTTCCCTAAAATCTCATCTACTTTCTTAAAGTTGGATGCCCCCTGGAACTCACATACTCAACATGTCTCCAACTTGATTAATTATCTTGCACCCCTAAAACTTATGTTTCTTTGACATCTATGTCATTGATATTCAACTCACCATCAAAGCTGGTCAACATCATCTACTTCTCCCTCCCATGGAGTCCCGCAGAGCCAGTCACCAAGTGCCATGAATCCCACTACTTTCATGCCCTCATGCCAATACCTCCTGTTTAGCCCCTTTGCCTAGGCCAGGGGTGTCCAGCCTGTGACCCATGGGCCACAGGCGGCTCAGAATGGCTCTGAATGTGGTCCAACACAAAATCATAAATTTACTTAAAACATTATGAGATTTTTTTCTTGTTTTCATTAGTGCTTGTGATTTAATGGGAGGCCCAAGACAACTGTTCTTCCATTGTGGCCCAGAGACTCCAAAAGTTTAGATACTCCAGCTAGACTTTAGCTCAAGCTCTGTCAATCTTTCATAAATTCAGTAACGGTCTCCTTACTCTACTTAATAACTTGTTTTAAGCATACATTATTATTTATACTGTCACTTAAATGTGTTTTTCCAAAGAAATAACTTATTTTCTTATTCTCCTGTTAGCAAAACAGCAAGTTCATAGTAGAAGTTTTATACATTAAAAAAGAAGACTAAATACCTGTATTATAGTCCTTTTTTGAGGGTAACTACTCTAATGTTTTAGGGTATAGAGCTTTGTCTTATATTTAAAATAGAAATATACTTATTTTAATAAAAATTAATATATTAAAATATGGTTTTTAAAGGTACCTTGTCACCCTGAAAGCAATGATACATTTTATATTAAGCTGTGATGCAATATTTTATTGATCTATAAAATCTATGCCATTTATAATAAAATTATGTTCATGACCTATTTTATTATTATTTAGGAGTGCTATTGGAAATTTAGTTTTATTGTTCTGCTTTTTTTCTTTTGTTGTTGTTATAAATCACTCTATGGTAAGTATACATTATATAAGTATTTTTGTACAATAGATAAATGGCCATTATTATTATTATTACAATAAAATCTTGTCAAATACTTCTGATGACTTGTAGTACCACAACTGCTGGAGACTAAACCATTACTTATTGCATTATTAACTTATTATGCGTTACCTGTGTTTCTGATACAAAAAAACTTTATGAAGATTTCCAAACATTTAAGGACATATTTTTAGATAGATTGTATAGGAACAAAGAAAAAAACCTGATAGATTTCAATATAAGAAAAAACACTAATGAATATTTGCTTATTAAAATAAATTATAGCAGTACACGTACGCTGTTATTCTCAAATAGTAAGCAAACCCTGATATACACATATTCTATAATTTCTTCAGGAAATAAATTGCTATAATTGATCTATACTAATACTTGGCAACTTTTTTTTATTTTACTAAAACCCAGGTAAATGAATTTTAGTAGAAATAGGTGACCATGAAAACATTTTAGAAATCTATTTATTATATTTACATTAGCAAGAAGAAAAAGAGTGTAATGACATATACAACATTTTCAGCAGTCAACTGCCATCTAATTGTGGATGACTTATCCTTTCAAAATTTTAAGTAAGTCAAGGTCCACATTACACTTTTCCAAAATTCTGTTCTTCAATAGTTTCACTTTGGGGATGCTTCATACCGATGATACTAAATGAATATATTTAATAAAGTTTCTTGCTCTTTGCATCAAATGTTAGACATCAGCCAATGTCCAAATGTACATTTGGAGACTTGCACATTCAGAAGATGAAATTTAATGAATGGGTATTCAGTATAAGATTGCATCACCCGAGTGTTTCTCCCTGCTCCTCGAATATGCTGTCAAAACCAAATGTCAGGTGGCAGAAGACGCAGCCTAGCCATTGAGTGTTGCCAGTCTTTAGATACTCACGGAAACACAAAGAGGAAATGCAAATGGAAATACACCTTATTAATCATTTTATTCTGTATTTCTTTGATGTCTAGAAGAACTATGCAATATCAGCAGAAAAATATTTAATTTCTTACAGTCTTATTATATTTTCAAGTTAGGCTTTCAAACAATTTCAGGAGTAACAGTTATTGTGGTTTCTATCAAATAAGCAGTTGTCATACTTGAGAACAGGTTTTTCTCATTATGTTAAAAGCTTCCTGAATAATGAAATGAAAAAGGTATTTTTAAACTTACTACTCTATGAAAATGTTACTAAAGATTTATTTACCTGGTTTTTATTAAAGTTATAAAGTTGCCAAGTATTAGTATAGATTGATTATAGTCATTTATTCCCTAATGGAAATGAAAGGATATGTATACATCAGGGATTTGCTTACTATTTGAATATCACAGCCTATGTATATTGATATAATTTGTTTTCATATGCACAATATTCATTAGTATTCTTTCTAACATCTAAATCATTTAAATTTTTAAAAAGTTTTTATCATACTCAAACCATATATGATTTTTAAAACTCAGTACTTAATCAACATACTTATATCATTCCAATTTTTAAAATTACTTATTACAAAATAGTTTATTTTTAAAATTGTGATCAACACTAATAAGCTTTATTACAGGTAAGTTTAGTTGGTTTTCTCAGGATACTCTTGATGTCAAAACTGAAAGTCTCATGTCCTGGGAACCCCGTAAGTCCTGGGAAAACTGGGATGGGTGGTTGGTCACCCTAGTCACAGGACAATCAAATATATGTTGCCATGAACACACAAAATACAAAATAGAACCAAGAATAAGATTGTTGATATTACTCATAACATTTTAAATTCACTTTCAAGGGGCCACATTTGATTTAATTATTCTGGTTAGGAGGGTGCAGTACTTGTACAAAGTCTGATTAAAGGGAAAAAAGTAAGTGCTGTTTGACACAGGTTATCACAGTGACCAAAATTTACCTCTGTAAGCTACTTACTTCTGTAAGAATTCTTCATAGCCACATATACTTAGAAGACAATCTTTGTGGAATAACTGGACATTTGTGCGAAAATGTGGAATTTCTGTAATTAGGTCTCTGACAAGACAATTAGCTAAAAACAAAGGTGAATAATAAAAAGTTAATACAAGGTTCTCATATATATTGGCTAGGAAAAAGTTATTGGGCACAAAAAGTGATATGCCCAATTATGACCTATTGTAACAGTCTAGTTCCATTAAGAGGAATTGAAATGAAATGCATCTCATTTATTGATTTCATTAGATTTGGAAATATTTTTGAAAAATATTGTTTGTATTTTTTTGATTAGCCTGTCTACATACTGCATAATAGAGCTATGTATTATATTCTTGATGTTAAAATCTTTGGTACATTGTAACTGTGTATAAAACATATTCTGCTGTGGTTACCCTTAGGGATTTGGGAGATGCCAAAGAGATTACATAGTGAGTGATAAGCGACAAGCCAGAAGTCTAAACTGAATCTATCATTTCCAAAGACTGTGCTCTTAATGATTCTAACTCTCCAAAGCCGATTCTTCTTTCTTTTCCAAGTAGGAGTCACCTACGGTTCTCCCTTGGGTAACATTATAATAATCTTAATGAACATGTGGTTTCTTTTTCTACATTCTCTGTGACTCAAGGTATAAGCATACTAAAACATAAAGGGCCTTGTCCTTTCATATTCACATTCCGTAATCTCCTCCCTAAATTTTACATGCATATGCTATTTAATAGTGGCCACAGCCATGCTAACTTATTACAATATGTGTCTAAAACACTCAATTGCATTTCTCTGAGTGGTGTTTTGTTGGCAATTGACGTGTTTACCCTGCTGTGGCTTCTTTTACTGAATACAGCTTTAAGTTTGTAAGAAAAGATTTTTTGATACAAACCGGCTAACAAAAAGTAGCTCAAATAATATGCCAGACCTGCCACAGTGAAAAAAAAGAGGAAGAGTACAATGATTTCAAAATGTAGGTTTTAATGGTAGATCAAGACATTATTAAAGATGTGGTGTGATAAACAAATGGTAAAGATTTCAGGGAATTATGGATTGTGGAAGTACTTTGACAGGGAGAGAGTATCTTAAACACACTGCTGCTTGGAAATATTGAGTGAAATAGTATGATTTGAAGTTGAAAAAAATATGGCCACAGGAAAAATGACTGTAAGGGCTTTGACAAGTAGGGGAAAGCATTGCCAGTGTATTACACAGGAAAACATCTTCAACACACCAGTTTGCTCTAACTAACCTGATGCTCCTGTTTCTAAGTCTGCATTCCCTGTGCCATATGGGGCATCCATGAATTCATCACTTCACCACAATCATCTTTTCATGTGCATCAAAGACTTCATAATCCAATTTCTTCCTATTGTTACTTTCCTGTTTTTTTGCTTTGATATGTCTTACTACCTGATTCATGTTACTCCTTGGATGTTTTATTATTACTTCAATTTCAGCGTGTCTAAACCTGAATGATCACCTTTCTCTTTGAAGCCAACCTGATTAACAATGTGAGTTAAATTTCTCATGCGTATTGTAAGCCAACAAATACTGTGGCTTTTTTACAGTTAGATTTTATACCTGTGCCTTCATTTCAGCAGCCAACATAATTCTTTCCCCAATTTCATATAGTCTCCCATCCCATGGAATTCTTCTCAATCTGTTGACTGTACATAGAAGGCTAAGGCCCATTTGAGATTCTTTAATTATAGTACTCTGCACCTTAAATCTAATTTCTTATGCATTCTCCTTTATTCTTTTACATCACTTTTGAGTTGTTAAATATCATTGCTTTTTACTAAATCTTACTTCTCCAGTGTTCTTTTCCTTACACTGGGCTCCAATTCTATCAGTTAAAACTCCTTTCTTTTATATATTCATCTTTTATATATTCATCTGTGATCTCCCTGTAAAATAAGGGGAGCCATTTCAAAATAGAGTTTGAAACACCAGTCCAGAGGAACTGCCTTGTGCATCTTGCTTCTTGAAACTCTGAACTGTGTGGACTGAGCCAGACCTTTGAACTGAGCTACAATCAAGGTTGGTTTACAGTTTTTGGTAACTCCAGCAGAACAGCAGACTTTCTGAGGATTATGGACTCTGTCTGAAGATAGAATCAGTAGCTGATCATGTATAGCTAAAGGGTGACTGAGGTTTATAGTACCAATGGAAATTCTTTCTTCTTTTTCATATAATTATTTCTTCTGTTATTACAGATAACTTCTGCAAACAGTTTTCAATTACCCTTTAATCTTTACAAACTGACTTCCACTTCCAATACTTTGGAGATTAGAGACCTCATAATAATAGTTCCATCTGTGCATGATCCAAATCTATAAAGTAGTGGAAGTAAAAACACTGGCTCTAGAATGACTTTGGAGTTGGAAATAAGGACATGGAAATCAACTTTGTTGAAGTTATAGATAAAGGCTGTGGAACAGAGAATTCCTTGTTCGAGACCTGGTCTTCTGGAAGGATTCCATTTCCTCAGTTTGGTCCAAACCAGAGTTCTCTTGAGATGAAAACTCCTTACCCATGTCCTCCTCTTTACTATCTACATTTTATTATGTCTTAAGTTTCTAGCAAAACCTTCTCTCTTTTATCAAAGTCATTTTTGATACCATGGACAGAAAAGGGGCCACATACTAAACCTGACAAGCTCGGGGCCCTACAAGCTCAGAGATTAAAAGTAACCACGTAAGGTGATCTGAACATAAAATGTCGTAACTGAAAGTAGGTCATGTGGGTAGTCATGTCCTAGGTTTGTAACTTCCTTAATAATGATCCATCAATGGGTCTGTCTATTGTCTTTTCGAATCTAAAATGACATACCTTTGAAATGCCAGAGTAATCTCCATTTCAGATCCCTCGGGGCACGCCCACCACACCAGAGCCAGACCACAGAAAGCCTCATTGTTACCTTCTTCCCCGAATACGATCTTTATATGCCGTGATAATTATTAACTACCATGTACCCGCCAATGTAAAGAAATTATGTGTCTCTCCTTTTTATTACTTATTCAATGCCAGAGGTTTCTCTGCTCTGCTTTCCCTTAATCTATTATCAGGGGATTTCATGCAACTCTTCTTATGTCTTCTCCCTCAATTCTAATGTAGAAAATAAGCTGCAAGACTGCCATTCTCAGGAGCATTTTCTCAATGCATTGGGAGTTTTCCTTTCCTGCAATTGTCATCAGTGTAGGCTGAAATAAACTCATAAAAATTCTCTGCATGTTTGGATGGTTCTTATGTACACAGTGCACTATTCAGACTTTTGTTCTTTATGTAATCTCTGTGTCACCAGTAAAATGCTAATACAAAGCTATGAAGGGAGTACACTTGAAGGGTGCAGAGTAGACCTCCCCAAGATGTGCCAGTTTCCCATGCAAATTATTTTGAGTTGGAGGTAATCAAGACCATGTGGGGACATGAGAAACTTTTATTTCTCCTTAAAGAATTTAAATTTGGGCCTCGCCCATAATAAGGGTTAAATTTGGGCCAGATGCAACTTCTGATGACCTATGTATAGGACAGAGCAAGCACGTATTTACCGATCATCTGCTTGTTTTATTGTACTGTGAACGACTTTCCTCTCCTCTGAAGCCCCAAGGTGCCCTAACTCATCCTTAGCTCAGAGTATCACATACACATCTTTTTAACTTTCTGACTCTGAACCTATCATGTATAAGAGGATCTCACATGTACATATGCCATTAAATTTGTTCACTTTCTCTTCATCATTTTCATGTTAATTTGATTATTAGGCCAGTCGAAAGAATCTAGAAAGGTAGAGAAAAATTTCTTCTTCTCCCACAGAGTTTTGGCACCAAAATTATTTTAAAGTAAAAATATTTGAAAATTATTTGACATTCTCTTATCTGAATAAAACAGATGTTCCCTAAAATACAGCTACCATTCTTTGCTCTGAGCTAGTTTTCTGCAAATTCCAGGAAGGAGACAGACTGCCTACCATTAGCATGAAAAAAAAAAAAAACCCAAAACAATATAAGCCTCCATTCTATTCTATTAAAGCTCTAAAGCAACCCCACAAAACATCCACCCTCATCCCCCCAAACTTCTGCATTAACTTGGTATAAAAACCTTTACCTCTAGGTATTCAGCAGGTAATTTGTTACTGAGTAACTCCTATGCAGGTGTGAATAAGCCCTGCCTTTTCTCTGTTAATTTGTCTATTGTCATTAAACCATTGTGGCAGCCCCCCTTCAAATGTAAATAGGAAGAGGAAAAACTGTTTCTTCCAACAATGGCATATGCTACACTGTATATTTTAATGAAAGTGTCCTTTCTCTTCTAATTTTTTCTCTTTCATCTCTACTTCACCCTTTCCTCCTATTCCTTCCCCTTGTAAATACTTTTAATTATCTTTGAGGATACAGACATCCTCTTTACCACTATACATCTCTAACACTAAACTCAATGACCTAATTACTGCAACTTCTTATAAAAGTAAAAAAAAAAAAAAAAAGGACTCTGCCTTGCCAAATTCAACAAAGGAATATGTGGGAGAGAGATGTTGGAAATTAAATATTGTAAATTGGAAGAACAGGAGTAGTTTCCCTAGTTCACAATTACTTTTTCTTCTGCAGCAGCTGAAGCCAACCTGACCCAAGTCATTCTGATTGGATTGAGTAGTGGAACCACTGATCTGGGCTATGCAGTCAGAATCCTGCTTTTAGAAATTTGGAATTGGATCCAACACAGAGATTGGAATTTGTTTAGGTAGCTGGCCAAATAGAATTTAATCTTGAGAGCCTGGGTTTTAGTATGTTCAGGAAAATCAAGGGAAATGAGTCAGTAGAAAGCAAGTGAAACATGAGAAACAATTACTTAGAGAGAAGGTGTGGTGAGAAGCATAGAGAAATTTTGGACTACTTGTTTATCTATGCCTCAAGTATGTTTGCAAATTTTTGCTGAATTCCTACTTTTCAATTATGTAAGAAACTTATATTATTTTAAAATGTTTATTCTTTTTCTGCTTATGCCAGTGAAAGTTGGTTTCTATTAGTTTCCAAACAGATGATCCTATTACTATTCCAACATATTGCTATATTTGTACTCAACTCTACTCAGAGCCTGGACTAGAGTAAGAAAGAAAATAGCCCAATAATAATAATAATAGTAACAGTAATAAATCAGTGAGAAAATATTTATTCAGTCATCAATAAATCTTATTGTCAAGAATCAATAGTTGATATGTAGATGTGTATTTAATAGCAACTAAATTTTGTTAAAAAAACGATATTATTTTGTAAAATAGTTTACTATCACCATGAAATAAAATATTAAACAACTTTAAAGGCATTCAAAATAAAACTTCAGAGAAATAAGAATTATCTGATACATTTCATGAAATGCAGATACTTGGGATCCATTCCCAGACATTTTGAGTCCATTTGATTCAGTGATTGCGCTGGGCTATAAAGGACTAATATGGTTCTATATATCTAAGCCTATTTTACCTCATGACTTATTCATATGATAATGAAATAGTTGTTTCTAATGCATTTTCATTTATATATACAGTTTTGATCTGGAATCTTTGAAATTTGTTTTTTGTTTTTAATATTCTAAAAGCAAGTTATATGCTTGCTATACTTGCTATTATTTTATAACAGGAAAATAAGGCATCCCAGGTTGAGGTATGTGAAGAAAGTTCTCCAAAAACAATAGCTAAACAAATGTTAACAAAATGTTTGCAGCTGTTCTCCTCTTACTTCACTTCAGGACAAAATACTAGCTAATTACACTACTTTGAATGATTTTCCTCAAGTGCTATGCAGTCTATACTAGCTTTATGCAGATTTTTATGCTTATTTGCAAGGTTGCTTACCATGTGGCATCAAACAAAGTGGCTGTGTTGAGTTATCAGTAAATATATTTATACTAAACTTAGTATTAGAAAAAAGTTGATGTGGAAATGCTGTGGTAGTGCTCCAGATCTTCCCCGAATTGGAATCAATGTTAGCTGCATGGTATGTTGCTCTGATTCTGAAAAATACAAGGGAAAATAATACTTAGAAAAAGTTAAGGAACTACATGCAAAGTTTCCTACAGAAGATTTAAAAGAGGAAAACAGTCAGCAGCTGATTTGTAGCACAGTGCTATTAGGGCAGATTGGTAAAGATTATAACAGCAAAAATGACCATAAAGGACTGATCTTGAAGCTTTTCCAGGGGTACCTCATTTGAAGCAATTAAGGATACATTTTCATTCACACACATAAAAATCACTCTGTACAATGATTACTTGCTTTATTCACATTGCTTTTGAAGCTTGGTCTCTTCCCCTTGGTTTTTGTTCATGCCTGAATTTTTAAAGCTAGGAGTCACTCATCTTACTATAAGAATTTTGGTAAATAATTTTTTAATCAATTTGGTAAATACCGTTTTGGCCATCCATTTTTCTGAAAAATTTGGGTTTTATACATCTTTGGAGTTTACATGAGAATACTGAGCTCAAAAGTCATTTATACATTCTGAATAATTGCTTTTTGCTCAAATGAGCTAGAGAATTGCAAAATAGTTTCTCCTTGGAACCAGAGGCCTTGAGTTTAATCCTGGCTCTCCCATTTAGAAGTTTTGTAGTCAGAGGAGAGTTATTTGACTAGTTTCTTTGCACAACTGAGGATATTTATATCTATGGCAGCCCCCATTTACCTGTGGTTATGCTTTCTGTGGCTTCAGTTACCCTAGTCAAACATGGTCCGAAAATATTAAATAGGGAATTCCAGAAATAAACAACTTATGACTTTGATATTGTGCATCCTCTGAGTAGCATGATGAAATGCTGCACTGATCTGCTTCCTCTGTCTGGGACGCGAGCCATTCCCTCGTTCAGGGTATCCACCCACTAGTCATTTAGTAACCCTTTCGGTTATCAGACCGACTGCTGGGTATCTCAGTGCTGTGTTCAGGTAATCCTTATTGGCCTTAATGCTGTTCTCAAAGTGCAAGAGTAGTGATGTTGGCAATTCGGGTATGACAAAGAGAAGCCATAAAGTGACTCCTTTAAGTGAAAGGTATGTATGTACAGGAAAAGAAATAGAATTATAGGTTCAGTACTATCTGCGCTTTCAGGCATCCACTGGGGTTCTTGGAACATATATCTGTGGGTAAGGGGGACTACTATACCACATTTTAGATTTAAAGTGTCAAGTTCCTGGTATTAGTTGTTGGCTTGTTACAGTATCATATTCATAAAGAATCAATACTGATGTCTTTAAAGACCCTAATTTATGAATCCAAATTGTTAATTAACCAATTGATTAAATTTATTGCAGTGACATCGGTTGATAAAATTATATAGGTTTCAAGGGTACAATTCAAGGGTATAATACATCACCTACGTATTGTATTGCGTGTTCAACACCCCAGGTCAAGCCTCCTTCTATCACCATTTCTCCTCCCTACCTCCTGCATCCTCTCCCGACTCCCTCGCCTCCCTTCCCCTCTGGTAATCACCATATTTCACTCTATTGTTGTCTATGTATGACTTTTCTTTTTGTAAATACGCATTGTAAATTTTCTTGTGTGATCAAAAATGAAAGATACACATTTTAATTAATTTTATTAATTTAGATTAGAAATTAAAGATAAATATTTTAATGAATTTACTTGCTTTGTTTTGCATTTTTGTATGTTGTGTCTTTCAGTTCTTCTAATATAGTTGAGTTCTTTAGGGCAGGGACTTCACTTTTTTTTTGCTTGTTTGTTTTATATTTGAATATCTCATGATGAATTAGTTATTAGGCATTCAAATAGCTTTTAAGTTAATAACTGAATAAATGATTCAAATCTTTAATTCCAAATGATGATTTAATAGAATGGTGCTATAGCTGATAAATAAACAAGTTTATTTATATATATTTATTATATTTCAAGCATCTATAAATGAATAAAAGTGAAGAGATCTCAGATGCAAATCTATTAATTTTTCAAAAGATTCAGGAACCTTAGTAACCGAAGGGACAGAATTATATAAATTTTAATTGCTAATGAGAAATTAGTCTTTAAAAGAGGCATCTTTTAAGGTAGAGGCATCTACCTTTATATTAAGAAATTTATTTTTAGACTAGTTAAAAGAAGGTCAGTGATTTTTGGCAATATTCCTAGTGAAAAAAAATGTTTTTCAATGATAAACACTCATGCATTTGTTCAAGTTCTGGCATCCCGTTCAAGGTAAGATTAAGTTACTCAAAGAAAGGTGAAGGAGGAGCAGATGGCAACCAAGTATTTGGAAGCTGAGTCCACTTACTCTTGCCCCAACTTGATACTTGGCTGATCTTCCAAAAAAATAAACTGAACATTCAACATAATCTTAGCTGATGTAAAGTTTGGAAGCCATGGAGTACAGAAGACACTTCACAACAGATGGTAAGGAGATGTTATAAGTTGAAGGGGAGATACCCCACGTGTGGTGCCTGCAGCTGTGGAGGGGTAATGAGAGATCGCAGCTTTGCAGCTCCCTCCCCTCTCAGAGCAGAGCACCCCCCAGGCCTGATCCAGGACTGACTTGGACACTCAAAGTTGGGGAGATCCAGGCCACACACACACAGAGTGAGCAGCACACCCACAGCTGCAGTGGCAAATGCCAATAGGGAGAGTGCCAGAGGGAAAGAGGGATTCCATCTGCACCTGGGTCAGGCAAAGGGGGATGGCCGTGGCCAGCTGTGACATTGAGGGACTCCTTTTTTTTTTTTTTTTTTTTGAGAGGTGGTGTGTACAGAAAGCCAGACAGTAATTCAGTGCTTCACTGGGAGTGCCTGGAGAGACTTTTTCAAAGGGGGGCTGAGGCATACTGTGTAGGGACCCTGTGAGCAGCTGCTCTGCCAGGAAGCATAAAGGATTGAGGGCATGGTTTGCTTCCACTGAGTGCAGCTGGGCAGAGAAATCAGAAAGGTACACAGCAAGGGGATGTCTCAGCCGACCTTGGCACAGGTGGCAGGGCAGAGGCTGTGCAGAATGAAGAGTTCAGGTCTCTGCTGCAAGATCAGTGGGCTGGGAACTGGATAACAGGAGTCGAGTACCTGAGATTATTTACAGCCAGAGCCCCCTTCCCTGGCAGATCAAACCTCCTGGAAGAGAAAGAAACACCCAGCCCCCATCTCCTGCAGGATCCTAAGCATCACCAAGGGGGAAGTTCTGCAAAACAGGCACAACAACAGGCTCAAGTATCCTCTGAAGGTTAATTCTGCAACAGAAAGACAGAAAGAGAAATGCCTAAAGGGCTCATTTGTGAACTTCTCTCAGGGAGACTACACTGGTTCCTGGGGCCCTATGCCACTGAGGCCAGCAAAGCAGGGGGATCAGACATTGGTACAGCAAGGGGGGACCAGGACCCTGCCCAGCCTTGGCTTACACACAGAGCTACTGTGAGCACTAAGTAGTAAAGAGTTGACCTTCTTACACAGATTGGTCCAGCTAATTCATCAGAAACTATACATTATTGGAAATAAACTTGGACAGACCAAGACAGGTGGTGCAGGAGCAGGAGGGAAACACTCACAATTTTCCCAGAAGACTGAACAGTGCCTCCCAGGTGAGACCCAGGGGTCCTACCTTCCCAATTGCAACAGAAGGCCCCTCTAGAGGCAGGTCAAGTTCATAGAGGCGCTTCTGCCAAAAGCTGGATGACCCACCAGGGACCCTGAGCTGATAAAAATCCAGAGACGGCTCCAGAAAGAGAAGACAGAAGGCAAACACTAATCTCTGCTGAGGTGAATTCCACCATGTTCTTCTTCAGAATTTGCATTATTTTTTCTTTACATAGCTTTTTAATATTTCTTCTTTTGCTTCTATTGTATCCCAATCAACTCATATTCCTTGTCTTTTGTTTTTTATTCTTTTTATTTAGTTTTCATATATTTTTTATTGCATTGTTATTTAAAATCTCACATTGTACCCTTAGCTTGTCTTGTTCCATTTTACTTTCTCCTGCCCTTTCTCATTTTCATTTAAAATTTTATTTTCCCCCATGCAACACCTTGTTCCTGTTCCTTACTCTGACTATTTCTCCTACCTCTATCCTTGGAAAAGCATTCTTCCTTCCATTAGTCAGCTCACTTCCATTTTCCCCTTCTTTTTCTTATTTTCTTTCCATCTTTAATTTGTGACTTGCTTGGTGTGGATATTACGGTTATTGCTGCTCTTTTCAACTGTATTCCTATTTGTTCACTATTTTTTAAATTTTAAATTTTATAGGTTACTCTCCCCTTATTCCATTTTGCCTTCCTCCTGCCCTTTCTTATCTGAGTTTGGAATTTTATTTTTTTCCCTTTTCTTAGCCTGGAATATATTCCTTACTCTTATTTCCCCTCACCCTAGCCTCTCAAAATAATTTTCTTTACTGTAGACATCTCATATTCTCTTTTCTCTTTTGTATATTATTCTTATTTTCTTTCTGCCTTTATTAATCTTTGCTTAGTTGTCATTTTTATTGATCCTGTTGTGATTTTTTTAGCAATTTTGTTCCCTTTGGTTCATGACCTTTTAAATTTTATTTCAGAACTCATATTAATATGGGAAACTTTGAAAAACCTCTGTTTAACCTTTATTTGCCCAGGCGCCCTAGAGAGAATGATGGGGCCGTCTGGGAGGGCGGTGGCCGGATAGTGAGGACTGGAAATGAAAGGAGAAGCCCTGGGAGACCTTTGCTCACCCAAGACCCCAGGTGCCATAGGAGAACAATAAGGCCGTCTGGGAAGAGCAAATAAAGCAAATAGCTGGATAGTCACTAGGACTAGGGCTAGCACCCCCACAGATAGAACCAATTTTCACATTTAGCCTTTGAACTCTGCTTCTGCCCTGTAGATAGAAGTAATTACCTCATTCTGCTTCTGTATCCTGCTTTGCCACGTAGTTAGGAAGACCCCTAATCTATATATTCCCCAAGAATCTTTTGTTCGGGGCTCAGAATTTGGAAATGACTCCTCTGGGCCCGTGCACGTTAAACAATAAACCTCGTACTCCAGAATCCCTCAGTGTCTGGTTGCTTTGTTTTCCTATAACAATATTATACTCTTCCATTTTCTTAAAATACTTTTTCATTGCCCTTCCCTGTTTTCATTATGCTTTAAATTTTGTTTTATCCATTCTTTGTCTTGTTTCTATTCCTTACTGTTATTATTTTTCCTCTTTCTTCCTGTCCAAACTAATTTTTCTCTCCTTGAGCCATCTGATATCCTTTTTTCCTATCTTATAACATTGTTAATCTCTTTGTACCTTTATTAATTTTGCTCATTTGATGCTGGTATTGCTGATGGTGGTGGGGGGATGTATTTTTCCTGGCATGGGTTTGGTTTTTCTGGGTAGTATTGCTTTGTTAACCAGCTCCTGCACATCAGCACACAGACATGGCAGGGATTGTGACTCCCAGGCAGCCGGCTGGAGGGGAGAACCCACCAATGAATGATCCATCAAAAATCAGTGCCCAAGTACAAAAAGAGAGTCCATATAAACTGAATAAAGGGAATTAATCCCTAAGGCATCCAGATCAGGAGTAACAAAGACTACACCACTGAGACCCACAAAACTCCTACCCCAGAAAACTACCCCACAAAGACAGGCAGCCAAAGCAGAGCAATCCGAGATGCAGAAACAAATAAGAAAAGTCACCTAAAATGGGGAGACAAAGAAATAACCCCCAATGAAAAGGAAAAGAGGACTCCCCAGAAAAAGAGCTGAGTGAAATTGAGGCAAGCAAGCTATCAGACATAGAATTCAAAATAATGGTGATGAGGATGCCCAAGGAAGTCAGTGACAACTACAAGGAACTTTATGGGGCTACAAGGAACGTAGTAGGAACTTTAGCAGCATGAGAGAGGATGTAGAGAATATGAATAAGAACCAGGAAGAAATAAAGAGTACAATAGCAGGAATCAAAAACGGCCTAGATGAAGCAGAGGACTGAATCAGCAAGCTGGAAGACAAGGTAGAAAACAATACTCAGGCAAAGCAACAAAATGGAAAAGACTCAGAAAGAACCAGCATAGTTTAAGGGAGCTTCAGGACAATATGAAATGTAATAGTGTTTGCATCATAGGAATATCAGGAGAAGAAAAGGTACAAGGGGTGGAAGAAATAGAAGAAAAGGTGCAAGGGGTGAAAACTTTGTTTGAAAAAATAATGACAGAAAACATCCCTAACTTGATTAGGAAATAAGTCATACAAGTTCAGGAAGCACAGAGGGTCCCAATTAAGATGAACTCAAAAAGGCCTACTCCAAAACACATCATGATTAAAATGGAAAATTTGAAGGACAAAGGGAGGTCCTGGCTGGTGTCACTCAGTGTTGAGTGCCAGCCTGCAAACAAAAGGGTTGGTGGTTTGATTCCCAGTCAGGGCACATGGCTGGGTATGAGCCAGGTCTCTGGCGGAAGGTGGGCAAGAAGCAACCACACATTAACATTTCTCTCCCTCTCTTTCTCCCTCCCTTCCCCTCTGTCTAAATGTAAAATAAATAAGGTCTTTAAATAAAAAATAAATAAAGACAAAGAGAGAATCTTAAAGGTGGCAAGCTAGAAACAGCTAGTAACATATAGGGAGCTCGGAGAAGGCTATCAGTGATTTCTCAACAGAGACAATACAGCCAGAAGGGATTGTCACAAAATAATCCATGTAATGAAAAGCAGGGATCTACAACCAAGACTACTCAATGCAGAAAGGCTCTCCTTTTAAGTGGAAGGTGAAATAAAGAGCTTCCCAGACAAAGACCGCTTAAAGAGTACATCTCCACAAAGCCAGCACTGTTGCTAAAGGGACTGCTATTAGAAGAAGAAGAAAGAGAGAAAGAGACAGAGACAGAGAGGAACACAGGCATGGAATAAATGGCAGTGAATAAGTAGCTGTCAATGATCACCTTAAATATAAATGGATTAAATGCACTGATTAAAAGACAGGGTAGCTGAGTGGATAAGGAAACACTACCTGCATATATGCTGTCTACAAGAGATGCAACTCAGAATGGAAGATCTACACAGGCTGAAAGTGAAGAGATGGAAAAATATATTCCAAGCAAGTGAATATAAAAAAAGCACATGGGGAGCAATGCTTATATCAGACTTCAAAATAAAGGCTATAAAAACAGACAAAGAAGGCCACTACATAATACTTAAGGGAGTAGTCCCTCAAGAGGATAGAACCCTTATAAACATATATGCGCTCAACACAGGGGTACCTAAATATGTAAGGCAAATCTTGGAGAACTTCAAGAAAGATATTGACAACAACGCAGTCATTATAGGAAATTTTAACACCCCATTGTCAACAATGGGCAGATCTAAACAAAGCGTCAACAAGGATACTGTGGCATTGAACAACACTCTACATCAAATGGACTTAATTGATATATATGGAACATGTTATGGCATAGAAGGAAAATACATGTTCTTTTCAAATGCACATGAAATCACATTTCAAAGATAGACCACATGATAGGGCATAAAGTGAGGCTCAACAAGTTTAAAAAAATTGAAATCATATCAAGCAGGTGCTCAGATCACGCGGGCTTGAAACTAGAAACCAGCTTCAAGGAAAAAACTAAAAAACATTAAAATACATGGAGACTGAATAACATGTTGTTAAATAATGAATGGGTGAACAATGAGAATGAGAAAGAAATCAACTTAAACTACCAACAAATATCAAGGGCAGGCCTGAAATTTTATGAAACATAAAACTTTAATTAAATTAAAAAAAGAAAAAATTATTTGACTATAAACAACAAAAACAATACCAGAAGTTGACTAATGAACAAAGTTCTCATAAATTTATTCTTTTCACTGTTAAGATTATAGAACATTTTATATGCTAAATTAATCAATTTAATAATGTTAAAACAGACAAATTTATGCAGGTATATAAATTTCAAAACTTAGTGAAATAACAACACTTACTTTTTTACTTTGTCACAAAAGGAGGCCAGACTCATATTACTGCCTTGAGGTATTTCAATTAGCTGAATGGAACAATCTATGGACTTAAAATAAAAATTTTGAAATTAATTTAGTTGGTGTGGTGAAAAGATAAATTCAGATGTATATTTTTAACTTGTTTTAAAGATTCATTTTGTTTTTATTTTTTTATATTTTAATGAAATGATACATATAGAAAATTGCATGAATATTAAATACATAGTTTAAGTTTTCAGAAAGTTGTACAACTGTTATATCAATATTCCAATCAATGTATGGAACATCTTCATCAGTTTGGAAAGTTCCCCCACATCTCCTTTTGTCAATCTGTACATCTATTTGGTAACTACAGTTATCCAGAGATTTATCAAGAGTAGGCGTATGTGTTTTTTTGTTGCTGGCTTCTTTCAGTTAAGTGACATGTATTTTTAAGTATACTTATGTTGTCACACTTATCAATAGTTCACTTTTTGTATTGTTGGTTAGTAGTATACTAGCACATACATATTCTAATAGATAAGAACACAATGGTTTATCTATCCTATTGATGGACATGTGGGTTAAGTTTGGAGTAAGGAACTATTAATTTTCATTTGCAAATATTTATATGCATGTGTGTTTTATTTATTGTGAAGGAATCCATAAATGGCTGTCAGGGTGGGTATATGATTAACTTTAAAAGAACTCATTTTTTGCTTTATGTGTTTTGAATCTATTATTAGGTACATGCACAACTGAACTTATTATTTTTCTGATTGACCTTTTTATTATTATGAAATGACACTTTTATTTCTTCAATACTACTCTCCATTGAACTGTAATTTTTCTAATATCAATAACCACATCAACTTTCTTTTGCTGTTTGAATGTTAAATCTTTTTATTTCTTTTATTTTCAACCTATCTGTGCCTTTGTGCCTTAAGCTCGTCCCTTGTAGACAGTAATAAAGTCTTTTATATTGTTTGATGATTTCTCCCTTTTATTTGGAATGCTTATCCTATTCCTATATAGTATATTTAGAGATATTTTTGGATTTAAGATAGCCATGATGATGTTTGTTTCCATTTGTTTCTTCTATTTTATTTTGTTCTATTTCTTCCCTGCCTTTTTGACCAATACTTTCCGTTCTCTCAAGGACTGATATCCTATACTGACTGTGTTCAATGCCTGAAATTATTTACTTCATATATTTTGTTTAACTTCATAGTTGCTTTCAGTGGTAAGGGAAAGTTTGGCACTTGTTATGTTTCAAAGATCAATAGTAGATGTTCCTAAAATTGATTGACTTTCATTTTGGATCATTTGATGTGCTACCTTCTTCCACAAGTGCCTCAGACAGAATTAGTTGTTTCTTTTCTGTGAACTCGCCTTCTCTGTTATTTTGCTCTTACCTTCCTTTAGTGTTTGCAAATTAATTTGAGTAATATGTTACTCCTGAGATCAGGTATCATGTATTTTTCTTCTTTGGATTTGTTATTCCTAGTTTATCATGTATATTTTAAGAAGACAGTAAATTGTTGTTGAATAAATGAAGCATCATTTTGCCTCAACCTGTGAATTACAGCTGCACTAATATTTCTTCTTTGTACTATTTACTTCATCTCACTTGTGTCAACACTTGGCATAAGCAGAGAAAAGTTCAAATATTGCACAAGAAAATCTATAGTTACTAAAACCATTGGAAAACTACTAATGGAATCACTAGGATGAATTGCACAATAATTACTTAATTTCCCACTCTTGGAATGATCCCAATGGAACCTGCCTGCCAACAGTATCATTTAGGGGCCTCTGAGTAAAGGGAAACTTCTCTTACTAATAATAATCTAAAGTCTTAATTCATGATAATGTGACTCATAATCTAAATGTAACAAAAGTGATGTGTTTCTGGGTGTGTATAATAACATGATACAGTAAGAAAATACTATTATCAAAACCTCCAACTGTGATATTTTTATCTAACAAAATGTAAATTCTACAACATTTTATTTATATTTGTAAAACGGGAAGTTCAAAAATTATATTATACAGTTTTATTTTTCTTTTCTCAGAAAAAAATAATTCAGGAACACAGAACTAATAAATGATGATTTTCAAATATAATATTAATACATTTCTCGGTTTAAGGTAGGTATCCTTATCATTAAGTTAATATAGCATATTATTGAAGGATTCATATTTATATTTTAAGATCAATATATCTGACACATACCTCTGTGTTCTTAGGCCCCGAACCTTCCTGCATCCTGGGCAGGAAGGACCCTTTGAAGAGCGTGAAAGGAGGTTCCACAGTGTTTGTAACTCTGTTCCTTTTGTTCTCTTCTTCTGGCATGAAGTCACTTGAGAAGGGTGGTTGTATGGAAGGAATGCTACTTTTAAATCCTATATGGTAGGTATGACTTTTATTTTCCCATTCTTTCTGTAGATTAATTTTATCCAAACTAGTGGATGATGGAACTAAAATATTTTCTTTTTGTGAATTCATTTTATGCAAATTAATAGATGACTGAGCTAAAATATTGCATCTGTAATCATCAGCACCACGACGTTTTCCTGTGAAATTTCCCCAAGAGCTTTCTTTATTTATGTCTTGAGGATTTGGTAGCACAGAAGGCCTAAAACCAATTATGGCTGTTTTCCCATCTTGGTGACAAGAGAGTTCTGAGCTTTCAGAATTGAATTCATTCAAGGCTATTTGCTGTGTTCCATTTAATGAATGCTGTTTTGAGTCCCAGTTTGGTGAACTGGGCACAAAAACAGTGTTTTCTTCAATTTCACTCTGATAGAGTGGAATTTTATTATTGATTTCTTCTACCAGCTGATCAAAACCCAGACTGACTCGGCTAGGAAAAAGGGGTTGATTTACGGATTGCGATTCCTGGTGTTCATGCTGCTCTTCATGGGATTCCCTGGGATTTAGATCTGTTTTCTGACAATACGCCATTCTTTATTTTATATAACCAAGAGGCCTGACTCGTTTCAAATAGCTCCTTAATGATATTATAAAAGAATGGAATTTTCCTAGAAAAAGCATAAGAGGAAACAAAAAGTTACTTGATTAATTAGTAATAAAAGCTTGCAAGAAAGAAATATGATAAATAAACCTAAACAATTGTTATAATGTTTCTCCTTAAATTCGTGAATTCATTAATCCCTTGAGTAATTTAAAACTTCTTCAAGGCTCATGGCATTAAAATCCACGGGAACCGTTGATTCATAAGATGCCTGTGATAGAAAAATAAGTTCACCTCAATTATGACTGGAGCATCAGGAATCAATATTTAGAGTTAATATTCCCCTTCATATCCCTTTTGTTACTAAAGAGTCACTTGCCTATATCATCATTATTTTCCTCTGAAGTCAATCATCTATATGCATGCTAGCATGCTAAAGTCTTCCTTATTAGCTAAACAATGTCTTCTTTATCAGCAATTACTCCCTCCCTACACATGGTCTTAAATTTATTTTTCCCTCCATAACCATTGTCTTGTCAGATTGTTAAACCTTTCCCCCAAAACTTTACTAGTAATTGCAAACTTCTTGCATTACTTCTCCAAAATACTTTAAGTTCATCAGTAAGTTTCATGTCAGGAAATTTAACTGACATTTATTAGTGTCTGTTTCATTGATCTCCGTAACTTTTGATACTATTTACTATGTTTCTTATTTAAAGTCTATTGCTTTGTTATGTTGGCTCTTCTGACACTATTCTCTAAGTTCTTCTTTGTTTGCTTTGTCTCAAAAACTCAAAAATATTCATTGTTTACTTGACTCTTGTCAGAGTTTTTTTTTGTCTCAATTATTCTCTCCTTGCCAGTTATTTTATACCTTTTGTGGTATAAATGACCATGTCAATGACTCCAACCTAGACCATTTTTATTATTACTCAATATCCCCTCCTGAACTTTTAAACCTCCAACAGAAAGCCCCCAAATTTAATTAGAATTCACCCAAGAACCTTCTCCTACTCTAGTGTACTTTGTGACAGAAAATGGTCCACCATCCACACAGTTTACACCAAAAGCCAGGGTTTCATCTTTGCATTTTCCCTTAGCTTGTGCCCCCTACAAACACCATTAAATATTTTAATGATGTATTTAAGAAAGTAACCCAGTAGCTCCCCAGAAAATCTTTTCTGTGGTTTTCTACTGTCTAACGGCGGTACCATGTATAGTGTACAAATGTAAGATTTCTCTTCCCTATCAGCTCATTAGACCATTTTAGTCTTCCTCACTCATAACACAACGCCTAGTATTTTGCTTCATTCAAAAGTTGTTGCTCATTTGTAGTTGTTGAAAAAATGATTTAATACATCGTACAAATTATAATTTTTAAATTTTATAAATTATAATTAAAAAATTTTAATTTGAAATGAAAAAGTACTTGTGTCACTTTTGTGGACTTATTAATTTCTTTAACAATTATATGGTTGTGTGTTAAAGACAAAAATTTTAAGGGATAAGTATGATAATGTTTAACTATTAAATATGGTTATCAATGGATTTTGCAATGGCAATTGATTTTTTATTATATTGGCACTAAAGATTTACTTAGAATTTATAACCCTAAAGAATAAGTAGGCATGATCATTTGGATTTTCTAGGAGAGGAAATGTTACTCTTAAGGTGAGGTCTTTGTTTCCCCAATTTTGTCTGTTGCCAGGCACCTGGGGCTTTCCGCTGTGGTGACCTACTGTACCTGGACCATTGTCTTTGCTCTGCTCAGTTCTAACTGCCTGGACCCTGGAAGCAGACTGCAGTCAGAGATTTGAATCTTAGTGCTACAGTCTACTAGCTATGGGAGCTTGGATGTTACTGCCATAGTGTGAAATTTCTCCAAATTGAAATGAATAGAGAATGGTGTAAGAGCTAGACCTCCAAGATGGTGGCCTAGGTAAACACAGCTCGCTTCCTTGCACAACCACATCAAAATCACAACTGAACTATCAAACAACTGTCACTCAGAGCTAGTAGAAATTGAGTGGAATGAGGGTCCTACAACCACAGAGTTAAATAAGAAACCAAATCCATCCAGACTGGTAGGAGGGACAGAGACACAGAGATGTGGAGACATGAAATGGGGTGGTCCCACACCCACTTGTAACAATTAAAAATTGGGAGGGATATCTTGGGAGCAAAGATTCCCAGCCCCACACCAGGCCTTCTAGCCCAGGGTGCCAGCGGCAGGAAGATAAGTCCCCTTGGCTTCTGCCTGCAAAAACCAGTGGAAATTGAGTTGGTGGAAGAAACTTCTGGATTCCCAGGCAGTTCCTGTTGAAGGGTCCACAAGAACTTACTCAGAATCACTCCTGCTGAGCTCCAGAACTAGGGCAGCAGCTTGAAAGGCACGTAGGCCTTACTAGGAGGAACTGAAGTGTCTGGCATCAGGGCAACATCTAGAGAATGGCTTTCTCCAAGACAGAACTGCTGGAAGAGGCCATTAGTCCTTTTCTGAGCCCTCCCTACACCAAACTACAGAGTGCAGAGGACACAATACCTGAGACTCCGTCAACTTGGCTTATACTGTTGATTCTCTGAAACTCTGCCCCACCCAACTTACTGGCTCACCCAAGTGATTAACAATGGTTTTTCCATATGAATGACTTGTTTTGGCACGTGCCTCCAATCTTCAAAAATCCTCTCAAACAAGCAGCAGCTGGCCTCAGTGAGCCCTGTCCCTTACTAAGTGGCCCCAGGCCTTTTACTGGCAGTAGCTGGCCTTGGTTCACAGCCTGGCCTTTCTTTGTAGGGCAACTACAAGCCTAACACAAGAAACAGCCAGCTGCTGATTACCTTATAGCTAATGCCGAGTTGCCCCAGACAGAACACTAGGTGGCACCAGAGTGCTGCTGAAGTAAGCCTTCCTCTGTGGAGTGAGCCCTTGCACAGCTGATCCTCCACAGAGGGCAGAGATTGGTGATCCAGTGGTCACGGCCAGTCCTTGCAGCTGAATGGTCTGTGTACATTCTTCCCATTAAATTGCCAGAACACTCAAGGCTCAACTACAAGAAGAGAGTGTACTCAACCCATACAGAGGCCGCACATTAAGTAACTGATTTGGGTGATAGAAGAGGCGATGCCACAGGACCCTACAGGATACCTACTACATTAGGTCATGCTACCAATACAGGGAATTATAGCTGCTCTACCTAATATATAGAAACAAACACAGAGAGGCTACCAAAATGAGGAGAAAAAGAAGCATGGCCCAAATGAAAGAATGAATCAAAACTTTAGAAAAAGAACTAAACAAAATAAAGATAAACAATCTTTCAGATGCAGAGTTCAAACGCTGGTTTTATGGATACAAGGAATTTATGAGTACCTCAATAGCGTAAAAAAATCCACTCAGAAACAAAGAATGCATTACTTGAAATAAAGAACAATTTTCAGGGAATCAACAGTAGAATGGATGAAGCCAAAAATTAAATCAATAATTTGAAACACAAAAAAACAAAAAACAAAAGAATCCCAAAAAAATGAGGATAGCATAAGAAGCCTCTGGGACAACTTCCAGTGTACCAACATCCATATCATAGGGATGCCAGAAGGAGAAGAGAAAGAGCAAAAAATTGGAAATCTATGAAAAAAATAATGAAAGAAAACATCCCTAATTTGGTGAAGAAAATAGACATGCAAATCTGGGAAGCACCGAGAGCTCCAAACAAAATGGATGCAAAGAAGCCCACACCAAGATACAACATAATCAAAATGCCAAAGGTTAAAGATAAAGAGGGGATTGTAAAAGCAAAAAGAGAAAAGCAGGTAGTTACCTACAAGGGAGTTCCCATAAGACTGTCAGCCAAAGTCTCAAAAAAAATTTTTGCAGGCTTAAAGAAATTGGCAAGGAATATTCAAAGTGATGAAAAGCAAGGACCTATGACCAAGATTGCTCTATCCAGCAAAACTTTCATTTAGAATCAAAGGTCAGATAAAGCACTTCCCAGACAAGAAAAAGCTAAAGGAATTCATCATCACTGAACCATTATTAGATGAAATGTTAAAGGGATTTATTTCAGAAAAAGATAAAAACTATGAACAATAAAATGGCCCAACATACAAATCTATCAACAATTGAATCTCAAAAACAAACTAAGCAAACAAGAAGAACAGAGACAGAATCATAGATATGGAGAATGGTCTGAAGCCAGTCAGCTATGGGGATGTGATTTGGGGGATTTGGAGAAGAGGCAAAGAGATTAAGAAGCACAAATAGGTAGTTACAGAATAGCCATGGGGATGTAAAGTACAGTATAGGAAATGGAGCAGCCAAAGAACTTAAATGCACAACCCATGGACATGAACAATGGTTGGGGGTTATCTGGGGGAGTGGTGGGTGCTGGATGGAGGGGAGCAATGAGGAAAAAATTGGGACAACTGTAATAGTATAAGCAATAAAATATAATTTTAAAACATAATATAAACAAGAATAAATAGATCTATTATAGTTCACTCAAAAAATTGAACTAGTAGATTTATGAATCATTTTACAAGGGATGCAGATAAAAGTGTATTAGAAGAAAGGATTAACCAGAAAACTGATCCATAAAATATGATTCCAAAGTATTCTGATTCTTGGGTCTAGAAATACATTGTCTATCCAGAATCTTTTTTTTAAGACTTGCTATTTTTTAATCTCCATGTTTGTTAGTAATGAAAATGATATTTCATTAAAGCAAATTATACCCCTTCCTTTGTCTCTGTCATGGAACCAAGAATTTGTCAGCAGGTATGACTTTGACAACCAGAGTTAATATCCTGTTCCTATCTTCCTCAAAGCAGTCAGCTCTGTCGTAGCTTAAATACAGTTAATGTGGCTATATGAAAGTGACTTTTACAGTTTTTGGTGGCTTCAAAATAACTGATAGTTTTTTAATTATTTTTTTCATTTCATAAAGCCATTTAAGGAGGTCTTTAAATAAAGTTCCAGTGGTCTGATGCAGAAATGAAAGATTCCTTTAGTGTGTGCCATCTTCTTGTTGCTGATAGTAAAAATGGTAATGACACCTAACATTTTTGAGC